GTTCTGAAGGCAAAAGGGGGTCCAACCCATTACTAGCGTGGTGTACCTAATAAAGTGGCCGGTGAGTGTATTTCGTATTTTAAATTTTTTTTGGTTGCTAAATACTATTTTCTGAAATGTGATAAATCTGAATTTGTTTCCAAAGCATACTAAATATGTTTTTTAAAAAGTTACATTTTTAGATCTTTTTTTTTGTACTGGTGCTGTTGTGTTACATAAAATCTTGATTTTATTGATTATTATGTAGAAGTTGTTCTCTCTGAAATGCTGTTAAGTGTTTTAACACAATCAGTTGTATTTTATTTTTAGCTAGTTTTTGTTTTTGYTAAATTGTTGTGTTTCTGCTTTCATTAGACTCCCTAATTATRAAAGTAAGCCCAAAACCAAAGCATTGTTTTGTTTAAAGCTTAGGGTTACTTATTTTCTTGGAAAGCAAATGGAAAAGTATTTTTGCATGGATCTTCTAAAAAAATYAATTAAAATGTGGCATCATTACAACAACTTAAGTGAATGAACTCTAAAATTGGACTAAAAACTGGTACAAAAAACAAAACAAACAAAAAAAACAAAACAGAACTTCCATAAATTATGTCGGTAAGTCAAAGCATCCGAACAGGATGCTTTCTTACCTCTGCTCTGTTTAATGAGACAAATGYTGATCCAGATCAGGCGGCTCTGACATCAGCAGGGATGTCATGCTTGACTAAAACACACCTCCTCTAAAACCACGTGAATTCGAGGTGCATTTGAATTGTTTTTTTACGAGCAAGGGTGCAGTCAAAAACGATGCGTGGTCCACAAAGATCACAATGAGGAAWGGGGAGAGGAGATGCATGAATACTCACTGCGAGGTCCTGTACCAGCTTCTCCTCAAAAGAGTACTCCTCTGTTTCTATCCATATACTTTGATATGCCAGGAGGAAGAGGTTAATAGAACGATGCCTAGTGAGGGGTAAGAGGAAATTAGCCTGGGTTAGATAGGAAGAGTGCAAAAGGAGGGGAGGTCCCTTTAGGAGGTGTTAATACTGGTTAATTTGGGGGAAATGGCACATCCAACTGGTCACCTCACAGACTTTTGACAAAGTCAGCATTTTTTAAATTGAATTTAGTCCTTTATATGCTCATCTACTGGCAGAATTACAGATAAGAATGATATTTCCTTTTTTCTTTTTTACAACAATATTGTTCAAAATTCTACGGTCAATAATGAGTCRTTCTTTGTAGGTTACAAAAATAGCAAGAACTGCATATAATCCCTGCAAAGCATCCTGTTTAGTGTCTACGATTCTAAATCTGTGGACCAGTGGAGACACCAGAGAAAATCTGAGTTAAAACCCGAGGAAGWAACCGTGCCTGGAGGAAAAACGAGCAGAGATAACGTGAGAACCGCAAGCAAAACAGCTTTAACACTACAGGTTAGCACTTCATTACCGTCAGCATTGAGAGCAGACTGTCGTAGTCTGTGTTCTCATGCATTATCCCCAGCCAAACGTGTCGGTAGGAATTCATGAAGTAATTATTAGTTTTGTGCCTGATGGGATGAGGCAGAGGTACAACAGTGTGTAACACTGAGAACAGAAAAAAGACTGAAAAGAGAGACAAAAGAGAAGAGATGATGCCTGAAAGAGCAAMATTTGTCACAGGAGAAGCTTCACTTCCTCTCATTTCACAGAAAAAAAAAGATGCTCCTGCATTGAGCATGAGGCCTAGTAATTATTAACTATGCTGAGTCATATTTCACTGTCAACAGCCCTGAATAAATGAGTCATGCTGTCAAGCAAGCGGCCATGTCTGAGCGCATATTAAAACCAGCCACCCCCATATTTGGGCCCCATAATTGTTTTCTGCAATTCTGTGAGCCCCCTGCCTGACTTCCTGTGATTGAGTTACAGAGCAGCAGGCCGTAAAATTGCCAGTGTCCGTGTTTTTCTCCTCGTGTAAGTAGATCACAGCTGCGGGCTTGGTGTGTTTGCCACAAACAGAGAGAGGCAGTTCATTAATGAAAGGTCTGAACCCAGGAAGAGGGGGGGTGAGTGCAGTTGGAGGGGTGATGCCACAGAATTATTTGCTGCACTTTCTGTCATCAGCTGATTATCGCAAAGCTGTTTAGACTGAGACGTCATGAAACGYGAAATGAGCTGTGAACATTTGAGATGTAATTGTACACAATATTACCTTGGCAGATTATAAAGTGGAGCCATTCGGAAGCAGGCAACAACCGCTCGCTTTCTCTGTTTGGACAGCAGCTTCTGCCAGACACATTTTTTGGATCTCAGCGGCTGCTCCACCTAATGAGGTTAGAAAAAAAAAAGATTTATTGACAATCAGTAAATCTAGTCTACATGAAGCAAATCAGAGAAATAAATCCCTGCTGCAAAACGGAATCTGTATTTTCAGAGTGCACACGGGGGATTTCTTCTGCACCCGTTTTTTGTGACTAAACCGGACTGTTTTACATTCAGAGGGCAGAAAGAGAGGCCCAAAAGCTTTTACAGATGGCTGCAGTCATCTGATAAACCAAGCAGAATATATATATA